AATATGTAAAAATTTTGGTCACTGTATGTGTGTGTGTGTGAATTTCTTTTACTCAAAACCATGTAAATAGGAGATTAAGTACAGTTTGCTTTACATGAAAAATATATTACATATGAATGCTTAGGTCATAGAGAGTAAAAGATAACTTTTATTGAGTCTTTTCTTTTTAAATGAATGTATAGAAAGTTGGCCTGCTATATTTACAGGAATTCACCTTCTCCGTATTTTATCCCTTAAAATATCCACATACATGCATATATTTGTCATTGCTTGACACAGTTATTGTTTGATGATAAATTCTCTGAAACACTGGTTCTTTCCTGGACCATTACAGAGGAAACAAAAAAAGATCACTGTTACTCTATACCAGTTTAAATTGAGGGGTAAAAATGTCTAAAAAGTTAACATGTTCACAGTAACATTTTTCTTTTTACAAATTACAATGCAGTTGTTTTTTACACTAACTCATTACACAATAACCCTAAAAGCACAAAAGTTTTTATCTCTATTTTGTAAATGAGAAAACTGATGTGCCAGAGGACATCCAGGTGGTAATAAGCCAAACTAGGACTAAAATTTCAGCTGTTAGACTCCTCACTCTGTGATTTCTCACTCTATTGAACCACCACTTGTGAAAATCACTCAACTTGCTAAAGACTGTGTTCTCTAGGTAAGCTTCCATAAAATGCAGTTGAGGTGATGACAATATTCCAAAGGTGTGAAATCTATCTTAATTTTGGTTAGGAAAGCAATATATGTATGATTTAAAATGAAAAGATTTTTTTCCCCCAGAACTTCACAAAATGTAATTCCCATGCCCTAATAAGGAAACATGGTGTTTAAATAACCCTTCAAGTGCACCTCAAGGAAATGATCTGTGTCTTTCTAGATTTCAAAAGAAGCATTCATGTCTAGGAAAAAGTATTAATATGAAAAAGGATCTTGATAAGTCACTTAGTCTGTTTCATTGGATTTTGGCTGGGTACTGTGTTCTTAAAAGTTCTAACTCAAGATGCCCAGATGGTGATGGGATATGAGAAGCTAATGACATGCATGGAAGGACATGTGGTTCCAGACATGCTAGGTGTCTGGTTCCTAATAAGACACTGCAGTATTTGAGATTTCTGTTCCGGAAACAAATGGGGACAAATTTCATGGTGTCATTTGTGAATGTTCTCATCCTTCAGGCTTTTGCTGTATACCGCCATTGCCAAGTTGTAGCTATGGTTTGCTTGAAAAGAAAGGATGAGGAGGAAAGTAATGACCAAAAAAGCCCAAAAAATAACACACATGATCTCACATTTCTGTAAAATACTTATGGAAAAATGTGTGTCAAATATTCACATTTATGTAATTTAAAAATATTTTTAATTTATAAATTATTTTTAGAAGTTTTAAGTTTACAGAAAGTGAACAGTTACCATATACCACCTCACCCTTTCCCATGTTTTATAATAAAAATTTGTTATATCTGCTCTGAATTATTTGCTTCTTTTGATGAATTAATTTGTCTGGAGAGTATTACCATGGAAAAAAGCTCCCTTCATATTACCTTTATGAAGAATTCAATGCCTTGTACTGATCAGTGATTTTCAGATGACAGTGTGCAAAACAATCACCTGCAGGGTTGTTAAAAATACAGGACTGATTTTTTAAGTCTGAGCCAGAGACAAAGAAACTGCATTTTTAACATAGCACCCAGGTGATTCTGAATAAATAAGCATATGAACTATACTTTGAGAAACAATGGGCTAGAAATTCTTATCCCTGGATGGAAAATCTCTATTAGACCACCTGAACCCACACATAGGTCTGCTACTCCTTAAAATTAAAAAAAAAGACTCAGTAGTCTTTTTCAAATCCTGTCAAATGTCAGCATGGAAAACAATTTGTGTCTGAGCTAATTTACCAACCAATGAACACAATAAATTGAGTGAGAGTTAGAAGTGAAATTTTTAAAAATCTCATATACCATTCACTTGCCTAGAAGCCAATGAGGCAAAATTGTTATATCAAAGCATCCTAACAGATAAAATGTTGATTATCGATACATTTTATATATATATATATACACACACACACACTTTTTTGTTGTACAGATTTTTAATGAACTTTTTATTGAAATTATTAGGCCATCAATACACAATCTCAAAGACAAACAGGATTTATGTAAATGTGTATTTAAGATGGGGAATCTGAATTATTTAGGGTCTAATCCATTATAAAATGACCTAATGGATAGTCACAGGTGTTTTGGACCCCAGTCTAAGAGTTGGAGATGAGCTTTAAGACCCTTACTAGTCAAAGTGTGGTTCCCGGACCAGCAACATGAGCAATGTAGGAACTAGTTAGAAATGCAGATACTCAGGCCCCACCAGACATACTGAAAAAGAGTCTGCATTTTTAACATAATACCCAAATGACTTAGCTGCACATAAAAAATAAAGAAAACTTTCCTTCCAGTGTTTCAATCTGGATCCATCCTAAATTTTCCTGGCTTTGGACTAATTCCCACTACTAGTCCCCATTTCTCCCATATATCCACACACCCCATTATTTTTATTTCAGATGGTCATCTCTTGCCTCTTGCTCTTATCTCCAAAGGGAAACCCACACAGACTCTAACTAGGAACTCACAGGCTTCATTCACAAGTTTTCTTCTTTTAACCAAAGAAAACTTAGCGTCCTGATCATTATCTTTAAATAATCTGCTAGCAGACCTGAGCACATCCAGTTTATTTAAAGCTGCAAGTGAATAAAATATAGCTAGTACCAGGGTATTCACACCATTACTATCTTTCCTCCTTGCTTCAAAGCCTTGCTTTGCTCTCTCTAGGACTGTGCTTCAGTAAAAAGTAGTCAGTCCATTCAGAATAAAAAAAAAAAAACTCTTTTCCTGTGTAAAAAGAACAATGCTATTACGAAAAAAATGGTGCCACACGCTCCCACAATTTGTGTTTCAAAAAGCCACTGCTGCTGCTAAATCACTACTACTATCCTGGAACCATCATGAACATGCTAATCTATGCCCAAAGCAATGTTAGTATTATTGTTTATTTTATTTTTATTATCTAAACAGGGATAGCCCAAACCAGACAGTGCTATAATTCTGCTTTCTCCTGGTACGAGACTGGGAAAGAAGATATAATGATAACAAAGAAATGCAGCCAATTATTTTAGTAAATAACACTGCAGAAGTCATATATCATTTCTCATTTGCCAATTGCTCCAACTCTTATCAAGTTACTAGAGACAGCAAGTCAATGTGCCTGGTGCTGGAGAAAAACCATTCAGGTAAGCTGAGGCTGCTCCTTCTGTTTCTCCATCTGCTAAGCTGTTAACACAAAGACATATTGACAAAAGCTCAAGGAAAACACGGAATATTTCATCAGTAAGATTATGCTGCCCTGGAGACAGATGTTAGAAGGTTGTAATATTTAAAAATAAAGAGATAAACACATGGTTGAGAGGAAAGAATAAAATAATTTAGCATGGAGATAGAAAATTAAAAAGAAAAAGGAAAAGATGGAAAGATAGACTGTATCATACTGTATTAGCACAAGAAATGGTAAATCCTTTCATGTAGGGAAAAACTTTTATATCTGCCTCAGGCAATCATTTACCATTAGGTAGACATTCTTAGAGTGCAGTGGGGGAGATCTGTAAGAAGTGCTTAGCAGGGCTAATGATGATTACACAGAAAAGACTTACCTCTTGTCACCAGATAAAGTCCAGGCTTTGACTTAAATCCATACACAACAGTTTTCATAAAAGTTTAAACATGAAAAATGTTATATACTTTGGTAATTCACATTCAGTGAACATAAAAACAACATTAAGTAATGATAACTCTGGATTTACCTGGTGACTTTTATTGCAGAGGTCAAAGTACTTTGTCTTCACTTATTTTTACTAGAGAAAAATAATAAAAGTAGATTATAATTGTAGGTTATATATTCACAATTGACATACAGTAGGCATGTATTAAGCAAACACATTTTTAAACAGCAGATTCTCCATTTTTGCTAAAATTTTAACACATTTATAAATAAAATTCAAAGAGTAGGAACAGGAAAGTAGAAGGAACTTTGGCTTTGAATTCAAACAGAATTGGGTTCAGATCCTGGATATTTAATTCACTTCTCTGAGCTTCAGTTCCCTCATATGTAAAACAGGGATAATAATATCTACTTTACAGGGTTGCTGAGACGGTTAAAGGGTTAAATATATTACTAATGAAGGCCCTGGCATTGTGTGTGAACACTGCAGGTACTCAATAAATGCCAAGTGACATCATCCCAAAAAAACTAACACAAACAAGCATATTAGAGATTCCAATTTAATTACCATTTGTCCTTCTCTTAAAATCTCCAAGTTCTGATTGTACAGTAGAAGCCCCTAACTTAACACCTTTTCCCACTGGGAAAGTGATGCCCTCCTCAAAAAAAAAAAAAAAAAAAAAAAAAAGGTTGTGGGGGAATAGTATAAAGGAGGAGTTCCCAGAGAAAGGAAAAAGAAACAGAATACTTCTTCCAGGAAAGAGGAGGAAGGGGGCATAAGGTCTGACTTCATGGTCCTGACTAGCTCACCTCCTCAAGGATGAAAACTCAGGTAAAATAATGGCAAAAAAATATGGATGAAAACCCAGGTAAATAATGGTTTAAAAAAAACAAAAACAAAAAACTGAAAGCTGGAAAGCTTTAAGAGTTTGCCCTGCTTCCTGTTCATCATTCTAAAAGGAGAAAAACAGGATAACCACACCCAACAGAGGACTACTACAAACAGAATAAAACGGCAGCACCGTGTGAGTAGGCCAAGAAAGGTTCTGTAATAGCAGGTCTCAAACTTCGTTGGCTGTTGTGCAGCAGCTCTTGTGTCCAGGTATTCCTTCATGATCCCAGCAGGATACGTGAAAGGTGGTTGTTTAGAGTTGAGAGTAAGAAGCCATTTTGGTCACTGTGAGATGATCCCCACAGCAGATGCTGCAGAGCAGACAGACTAAGCCAGGGTTCACAGGGTAGATGTGGTTGAGACATGAGGACCTGCAATGCTGTTGAAAAATGAGAAGAAAACAAATGAGAAAGGGAGAGCTATAAGCTCTGACAAGTCTGAAAGAATACTGGTTTAGTTAATGACAGACTGAAGTAGCAGATAAAGAAACTCAGTAACTAGTTTGGACTAGATATATCTCCATGGAAGTCAGTGAGAATTCAGATGATTGCACAAAGGCCACACGCAGATCTGGGGCTCTCTCTCCTCTCTGCCGTAAGAACACATGAACCTTTCCTGACATCTACAGGATGTTTCTGCCAGGAGAAAGGGACGGAAAGAACACCAAAAAACTGGGATTTACCACCAAATAACCTATTTTAAAATAAAGAAACTGAGATAATTTTCCTTGTCATCTTTAAATTCTATCCCATCCTACTCCACTCCAAAGAAAATTTATTCCAATTCTAAAGAAATGAAAGGCCTTTTTAGCTCTTGATAAGTTAGATGCAATGTGTCCTACTCTATAAGTCATATTTTCTTTCTGTGAGACCTGGACAGGAAACCAAAATAACCATTATGTTTCTTTATTCACAAATTAAAGTACCCTAATTACATCAGGTAAAAGGAAGTAGTATCATACATACATTATTTTTCTCTCCTTTAAAAAAATTATTATATGGATAATTTGAGAGATCCATTCATTCATTCATTCAATAAAGATTTACTGAGTACCTTCCCATCTATCATATGCACAGAAGTAAATGGGATTGAGGTTGACTATTATGCACAGAGCAGTTAAAAAGCATTTTTGTACAGAATCATTGTTATAGAAAATTCTGTTGCCAGAATGACAAGTGAAGCCAGTTGCAAGAGGTAATATTATGTAAAATCTTATTTTTTAAAGTATATTTGTTATAACAAAAGAGATACAAGATATGGAGGAATAGGCCAGAAAGACTATCATCATTGCCTTTTTCGTTTTAATACAGGCATGCAAAAGAAGTTATATAAAAACATTATATAGCTGTTTTAGTTATCTCAGTAAATACTGCTTGAAAATTTTAAGAAATTAAACTGAAGAAGTCAAGTAACACTGTAATAAAGGCTATAGGATATTTTGTTGTTTAAGAGTATAGGTATTTTTCATAAAGATTCCCTTTAAAATGTTAGTGTTATAGTCCTTTTTTTGAGACAGGGTCTTGCTCAGTCACCCAGACTGGACCACAGTGGTGCAATCATGGCTCACAGGAGCCTCAAACTCCTGGGCACAAGTGATCCACCAGCCTCAGCCTCCTGAGTAGCTAGGACTACAAGCACTCACCACCATACACCACCATGCTGGCTAATTTTTTTCAGTTTTTGTACAGATCAGGTCTTGCTATATTTTCAAGGCTGGTCTTGAACTCCTGGCCTCAGGTAATGCTCTCACCTTGGCCTCCAAAAGTGCTGGGATTACAGGCATGAGCCACTGGGCCCAGCCCAAGTCCTCAATGTCTTAGCTTATTAAGTTCAAAGTTTTACATTATCAGGTTTTCTTAAAGGTGGGCTAGGGAAGCCTGACAAATACATGCTATTTGTCGATATGGTGTTATAAACATGAAAGAGAATATTATGGCTTTACTTTAAAAAAATCCCATAATTTTCTAACGATATTTATCTATAGAAATGGCATTGTAGAGTATTTTCAGAAAGGCTTTTATGCTGGCTCTTTGAATCATTGCCCATTCAAAGAATTTTAAATATTCTATCTAACCTCCTGTACCATAAAGCTCATTAGATTTCATATACTAGAGCAGAGAGTACAAAATTTAGGAAAAACCTCTGCTTTTATCAGTTACTTCTGAAAAAGTTAGTATTTCAGTCATCCTACATCCTACATTTCAGTCATCATACACTGATTGAAAGGTGACATTGTTAGAGATTATAAATAATTCAACAAATGGCATCTATCTGATTAGTATTTCAAAACAATATTTTATCTCTTCCCAAACCCCTCTTTATCTTCATAGAGTGCAGTTGCATTTGAAATCTATGGTTTTTGGCATATCTGGGGTAAGGTTATACTAGGAATTTACCAGACCTGTCAGTCTGTAGGTTTCTTCCATATTTCATTATATCATTACAGTTATAATTAGTTGTCTGATAAAATTAAGAACAGTCTATTTCAGTGAATGCTCATGTGAACATTTAACTACTTTTTGTTAAAATGACAGTTTAGCAACACAAACAATAAACCAGAAAGGGAGAGTCACTGAAGTAACCTTACTTAACTCAATGTTGTCAGCTCAATTGAAAACGCTAAGATTTTGCATTTTTTTCATTTTTGTTATTAATCATCAACCACATATTTCTTGTCAGGAAACAAACAGCAGTTTGATGACATTCCTGCCTCACCCAGCATGTTTTGAACTGACCTGTCTTCATTGCTATGGCTCCCTAGAAACACTGCCATTGACGAGCGTTGATTCAGTTGAATGCTTTGACATTTAGCTTGTCAGTGAAAGCTATTTTAATCATTAAGATGCATTTCCCTTCCAAGACTGCAAACTGTTGCTGCTCATACACAACATTTTATTATTTGATTACCGTGGAGAAGTGGAGAACCTGAAAAGTTACTCTTACTATCGATTATATTAAGAGCCAAAATTTATGGACTATTTTACTGTGTGTGAGGAGTTGTGCTTAGCAATTTACACAGATTGACTCATTTAATCCTCTCAATCATGGAGTCTGACCACCTGAGTTTGCATCTTTGTTTTCCACTATCTGTGTAACATGCAGCCCTCTTTGTGATATGATTTCCTTAACCACAAAAGGGAGTAATAGTACCTACCTCACAGGATTATTATGAGGAATAAATGAAACACATCATTAACAGTGCTTAGAATTAATACCTGCAAAACAGTGCCTTTTCATAGGGTTAAGAGTAATTTTTGTTACCATTTTTCAGATGAAATCAACCAGTTCTTCACCAACTGTCCTGCTCAGCACCACTTCTAACTCTGTCTCTGTTCCCAAATCCAAAAGTACAGAGAGAGAAAATGAAAAATATTTTTTAGGACATTTTTCTATAGGTATTTGAACTCCAGCTCCACAGGAGGGAGCACCACAATTATAGAAGGATAGTACTTTTCCGGTATGAGCCTTTTAAATGTTTTTCCTGCTCTTTCTTTCTTCAATGTAGCCCTTCCCCATTCAGGGAGGTAGACCTATGTGCTGGTGAATCCCCATTAAATGGGATGGAAGTGAAGATTTACACAGTTTGGGGGACTTCAGAGGAGAGGGGTCATTTGTTCCAGGTTTTAATTAGAGGCATAATGGCAGCAAGATAACAGAATCCCATCGTTTTCCATGCCCGTTTGTGAAACAGCAGAAGAAATATATGTCAGGCGTTTATGTAGACAACCTCAGACAGCCTAACAGAGTTCCCTGGGCCATGTTATGGAGCGAGAGCAGCTGTATGATCCCATGCCCCTAACCAGGCATGAAAGCAAAACTTCTCATACTCCAGAGCACCACTAGGATGTTTCCTATTGTGGCAGATACTATGCTGTGTTGTTACTGAACTCCTTTTCTCTCCTGAGCACAGAGCTAAACTAAATATCATAGCCTCCCCTGCAGTTAGTTGGGTAAGACTTGACTTTTAAAACCTTTATGAACCACTATATACATTCTCTTCTCTCATCTGCTAGTTGAATGTATATGAACCAGTTGAAGGTCTTATGATTCTAGAAAAATGACAAGAGTCATTGAATTAGGAGTTCTTAACCTGGGATCTGTTTAATAAAATGTAGGAGAACCATGACCTTGGATATGGAACAAAAACAACTCTGTAATTTGCATCAACTTCTAACTGAAGTCTGGCAATTCTTTAAATTATGAACATAGGAATCAATGCACAGTAGTATTAGCAATACTTGAGACTTTGTCACCAATAAAAATCATAGGTATTTTCATATCACATTATACTTAAGATATCTTAAATATCATTTATACTAAAATTTACTTTGAAGTAACAGTTACTAGGCTATTCAATATGCCAACAAAAACCACATATAACAAAAATATTTTAAAAAGTTTGATAACTGTATATCAATAATTGTTTTCCTTTGTAATTTGATGAAATTTTTACATCTTTTAAAAACATTTTTCTGCTTCACCAGATTGCCAAAGGGAGCTACAGAAAATTAAGAATCCCTGTTCTAAATGGATCCCTGAATGATTCCATGGAGTAGGGTCCATCTTTTCCCTCCACTCCACATCGCCATCACACTGATGACCCACATCGTACTATGATGTGACAAATAAGCTTTTACTGGGTTAAGTTATTGAGACTTGGAAGTTAATTTTTAGACCAGTTAGCCTGTGCAGACTAATACTCATACACCCTTGCTACCAAAATGGTAAGAGACCTCTGGCTGGAAAAGACCCAGAAGTGAATCCTGAAGATCAAAGATTGGATGCGGCCACTGAATATGTCTCAGCAGATAACAACTCAGAAAGAGGGTGAAGTTCAGTCCAGGAAACATTTCCTTCAACTTAGAAATAAAGTTCAATTACAGTATCATAAAGACAGTTCAATTATTCTTGAATTTGTATGCTGAAATTTATAACTGTGACACAACAATGAATTTTCTTATTTATTATTTCTCTCTTCTTTTACTAGAGTGGCAATTATTTTTGTTTCTCATAGCAGATGTTAAGTGCTTTTGAATTCATCAAAGTTTTATAGGTGTGTGTGTACATAATACATATATATATGGTTTTATATATATGGCTTTATATATATAAAATATGTATATACATACATGGTTTTAAAACCACCTCTGATTAGCTCTGTTCTCAGCTAGAGTTTAACACTGAAGAGAAGCAAGTAACTACAAAGATGAGATCAATACTGTGTAAGTCCTATGAAGGAATTTGAAAGTTGAAATTTTTTTAAAACGGTCTGTTGATTCAAAGAGTCTTGATAGAACCCTCCAGGGTTAACAAGCCAGGTGTAAATTTGACAATGCTTTCTCAAGGCATCAAGTTTTCTTTAATTTCATCTTTTCTTTTAGACTGTTCTGCTGCCTTTATTTTAGCATTAGAACAAATGAATCAGTCATTGTGAAACTTTCAGGTTATTAAAAGTCAAATGCAAAACCTCCTCTGAGGACAGATTCTTTCTAATTACCAAAGACTTACTGTATCTAAATTTTTATAACCTATTGAACTGTAACTGAATGAAAATAAAATGGGATTAGTGTGCTATAGTTTGGGTTTTGCCATTAAAATGCAAAAAAAAGTCCATTTATTCTTACATGCTATATAAACGTCAGTCTGTTCTGATCACTGCTGTATACTCAGCGCCAAGCCTAATGCCTGACAAATAAATACTTTTATGAATGACTAATCAAAGAGCACGCATTGAAATTATATACAGAATACACTATTTATGACGAGATTTTGCCATGAGAAAGTTGCTGCCTTTCACACTATGTAAGGGTAAGGTGACTAGATTAAGATGTTAAAGCCTGTAAACTGCCAATAGCTCACTGACCCTAGAAACTCCTAAGGTGATACAAAGTTCTTTGCTGGAAGAAATACTGTAGTATTATATTACTACAATTAAGTTGTTTCTAACATACCAATCCTTTAAAACTTAAGTTTTAGTGGTTTTTTAGTATTAGCATAAGTGTGTATTAAGAAGTACAAGAGCTGGGCGCGGTGGCTCACGTCTGTAATCGCAGCACTTTGGGAGGCTGAGGCGGGGAGATCACAAGGGCAAGAGTTCGAGACCAGCCTGGCCAATATGCTGAAACCCCGTCTCTACTAAACACACAAAAATTAGGCTGGGCGCGGTGGCTCATGCCTGTATTCCCAGCACTTTGGGAGGCCAAGGCGGGTGGATCACGAGGTCAGGAGATCGAGACCATCCTGGCTAAGACACAGTGAAACCCCATCTCTACTAAAAATACAAACAATTAGCTGGGCTTGGTGGCGGGTGCCTGTAGTCCCAGCTACACCAGAGGCTGAGGCAGGAGAATGGTGTGAACCCGGGAGGCGGAGCTTGCAGTGAGCCAAGATAGCGCCACTGCACTCCAGCCTGGACGACAGAGCGAGACTCCATCTCAAAAAAAAAAAAAAAAATTAGCCGGGCGAGGTGGCGGGCTCCTGGAGTCCCAGCTACTTGGGAGGATGAGCCAGGAGAATCGCTTGAACCCAGGAGGCAGAGGTTGCAGTGAGCCGAGATCGCACCACTGCACTCCGGCCTGGGCGACAGAGCGAGACTCTGTCTCAAAAAAAAAGTTTTGGCTCTTTAACTTTTCATGTTAATTTCCACACATTCAAAAGGGTAAATGGCACAAGGAAGCCCCTAAGTACCCATTTCCCAACCCAACAATAACTGCCATTCTTCTTTCATTTTCCCTCTTCCAATCTTGTTCTTTTTTGCTAGACTATTTTAAAGGAAATCCAAGGCATCCTAGTCTTTCAGCTATAATTATTTCTGTATGTATCTCTAACAGATAAGGACTTTCTAAACATAATAATACAATACCATTTAGCTCCTCTAATAAAATTATTAATAATTCCTTACTAGAATACAATCCCTGTTCAAATTTTGCCTGATTATCTCAAAAATGTCTTATACATGGTTTGTTTGAATCAGTATCCAATGTCCATAACAGTTGAGTTTAGTTAACGTATCTGTAAAGTTTAATAGAAAATGCTTCATCCTTTTTTTTTTTTTCAGTGCCATTTATTTGTGAAGAAACCAGGTCATTTGTTTTGTAAAAACCTCTAATTCTGGATTTGACGGTTTGCATCATGGTATAGTTTAACAAGTCCCTCTATTTTCTGTAAAATGGTAGTTAGATCTCATAATTTTCTTTTGGAAAGAATATTTCATAGGTAGTACTGTGCACTTCCTGTTGCATAAGGAGACAAGTATTTGTCTCCACATTTAGTGAAGACGGACTACACTGAGTTCAAGTATTGTCAGTCTGATCCATCACTACAAAGTGCTCCAACTTTTATCTAACGCTATTAGCCACTGATGACTCTTGGCTGGGTCCATTATTTCATCAAGAGTTGCAAAATGATGATTTTATATTTCTATCATTATTACTAACTGGAATTCCATAAAGAAAAAAATGCCTTCCATCAACTACGTGATTACCCTGAAATACAACTCATGCCCAGAAAGCGGGATAAATGCTTGTTTCTTCATTGAAATTAATCTACTTTCAGCATGAGTTAGTATCGTATTTCACTTTCAACAGCGTGCAATGAGTCTCCCTCAACTCACTCTAACTTCTCCCTAAGGTCACCAGGTGGATTTTACTGTAAAACCTCGCAGGGCCAGAATGGGATAAGACAGGATGGAATTGGGCAGGCCAAGGGGGGATGGATGCAGGGATTTAGGAGAGGGAGGTACTAGGTCAGGGAAGACAGAATACCTTAAGCATGCTCTAGGAGGTGGAATCCGAGCCTTCTGAGCTGTCTTGGACGTTGGTGCTCTCCACAGACTCCTTAGGTTCTTTGCTGTCACTGCCACTTTCTTCGGTATCCGGGTTCTTTTGCTGACAGGCCTCTTCAGAACCACAAAGTGTGCTGCCCTGGGTCTCCTGGTTCTCCCTGGAGCCCAGGACCACATACCCGCCCTTCTTCAGGTCCACTTGTCGTCTCAGCTCATCTGCCATCTGCGAGAGATCCCGCTTCATAGCATAAGCATCTTCCCCATCTGCATAGTATTTAGGTTCCACCTCACTAATCTGAAAGTTGAGGGTGTTAGAATAGAGGTGCAAGGCTGCCCGGTTACTCTTCCTGACATGCAGAGACACGTATTTGGCGTTAAAGTTCTCTATCATGGCCCTAGAGGCCTGGTCCATCAGCTTCTGGGCCAGGCCGAGGCGCCGGTGTGAACGCTTCACGGCAAGTGAGGTGATATGGCCATGCGGGACATCATCTGGGTCCTCCTCCATTTTGGCTAGGACATAGCCCACAATCTTCCCGTCCTCATCCTCAGCGATGTAAGAAAGCTGGGGCCAGGAAAGGCCATGATATAAATAGTATTTCATCTGGTAGTTCTCAGGAAGGCAAAGGAGGTTGCAGTGCTGCATATTCATCAGGTCGTCTGGCCGAGCGTTGCGGATGTTCATAATGGCGGCGGGTAGGGAGCCGGTTGGACTGCAGTGAACCCAGAAGAGGCTGTTGCCGACCTTAAGGGACACTGTTTGCCTCAGGAATCAAGTCCAGGGGGCTAACACCACCGGGCTGAATCTCGTGGAGGCCAGATGGCGGGAAGGCAGACGAGCAGGAGATGGAAAAGATGGTGCTAAGCTGCGGCTTTCAGAAGTGCGTCACTGATCCCAGCCAATGAGGTTTCACTTCATTGTGCGTCTGCGTGCGCAGGGGTTAGGGGGTGGGGAGACAGGAGTTCATTGTGACCTCCTTGGTTTTAAATAAAGTGATCCATTGCAATTATTATTTTTATTTGTTTAAGTTTTAACTTTTTGATTTGGGTATATCTGAATAATTTTTCACAAACTGGAGAAACCCAGATAACAGGAACTTAGAGGAAATAAAGAACATTGTATCCCAGAACCGCCCCTCCTGTCCCCTTCCAGTACCCGCTTCCAACGTCCCCAAAATAACGATTACCTAGACTTCTGACAGACTTTATATAAATGGAATCATAGTGCATGTATTATTTTTGTGTCAGGTTTTTTTTCACTCACTCTTTGTAAGTTTCAGCCACCTCGTGTATAGCTGACGGTTCTTTATAGTCTTCCTTGTTTGATATTGTATTGCCTAAATATGTCCCCCCCTTTTTTTTTTTTAATCAATTCTACTATTACTGGCCATTTTGTCATTTCCAGTTTGGGAATAGTACCCTTAGGGTAGTTAAACATTCTAGACATGTCTTTAGTTGGAACAAATGCGTGTTTATCTAGGACTAGAATTCCTGGGCCAGTGAATATAATGATGTTCAACTTTTATAAATACTGCCACTTTTTCAGAGCGGTTGCTCCACATTCTCAACAACATTTGCTATTTCCCCATTGTTTCTATTTTAGCCATTCTTTTGTAGCGGTAGAATTATTACACTGTGGTTGTATTTGCATTGCACTGATGAGTAGTAAAGTTGAGCACTTTATATGCTTATTAGCCACACTGTATCCTCTTTTGTAAATGGCTCCTCAGATTTTTTTTGCTCATTTTTCTACTTGTGTGTCTTTTTCACATTAATTTTTGAGTTTTATCAAAAATATATTCTGGGTATAAGTCCTTTGTTAGATAATATTTGTAATGAATATCATCCTTTTCTATTGATTGATATTTCCCTTTCTTAATGGTGATTTTTGACACCAAGCATGAATTTTAATATAGTTCAATTTTTCCAGTTTTAAAATTTGGTTGCTAATGCTTTTTGTGTTCTGTTTAGTAAATCTTTGCCTACTCCATGGTGATGGATGCATTCTTTTATATTTTCTTCTAAGATTGTTAGTTTTAGATTTTATATTTAGATCTGCAATTGACTGAAATTTAGTTTTGTATATGCTGTAAGGTATTGGTGGGCCCGATATTCTTTTCCTGTGTGGATATGCAATTCGAATAGCACCATTTACATCATTTTGTGAAAAAAGATTATCATCCTTTCTTCACATTACTGCATTGTTACCTTTGTCATAAATCCTACGTTTTATTTCTAGATGCATTTAAAGATTTTAATGTCATCTTAGCTGGCAGTGGTTGTTCATGCCTGTAATCTCAGCTACTTGGGAGGCTGAGGCAGGAGGATCACTTGAGGCCAGGAGTTTAAGGCTGTAGTGAACGATGACTGCATGACTGCACCCCAGCCTGCAGAAGAAGAATAAGTAGTATGCCATCTAGATGAAGCAAGATTTGGGGTATTTAATAGTGCAAGGAAGCCACATTTTATTAGCACTATTTGCACAAATGGAATTATCTGTGTGTCTCGTATAAACTTTCTTCCCAGTTTCCTAGCAGAGCTCAGAGCTCAGTTACCAAAATGAATTATGTTGTAGTTAGCCAGGTCATGGATACACTCTTAACTCATCTAGAATATGTGTGCAGCTTTCTTTCAAATGAGGGTACACCCTCCTTTAATAGCTAGAGTAACCTAGAGCCATGTGATCTGTGAAACATAGCTTGAATAGCCACTATTTTTTGTTGCATTTTGACAATTGGCAGTTTCTATTAATACATTTTTAAGATTTTACATAAACATTTTAGCTCCCTGATTTTTTGATAGACTCTATACATTGGAAAAGTTGTTCACCAGTATTATTCCCATTCAGAAATTTCTTTGGGTTGTGCCTGACACCATGGACGGGGCTCTATAATTTGTAGTAAAAGCATGATCCAGAAGAGTCATTTTGTTGATTCTTCTGTAGTGGGTTCTTCTTTTAAAAAGCATACACTATTGAAACTTAAGTGCACCGTATTCTTTGACAGGGTTAATTTAAATGCAGCCGGGTTCATTACAGATACTACATCCTTCCATATAGAATAGTTGCTGGCTTAATGCCCAAGGGTTGGGCGGTTTACTTGACTTATTCTAGAGTAGGCGTGGTACCAAAACCAATAGTAATAAGCATGATTTTTAATATACAGTAATGTGATCTTTATACATATATAATCATAGAAAGAATATGATGACAATGTCTCTGTCATGGAAGAAGCGTCTACCAGTTGCAATGACCGCAGCCACTAAGACAAAAGATGCAAAAACTGGTTATATTCTGATAGACTCTCTTCTTTTTTGACAGAGAAGTTTCTATCATATATCCTTAGCATTTGCATATTCATTTCAACTGCAGTGGAAAGCATGGATCCAAAACTAAAACTCTGACACTTAAGGAGGTGTTGGTATTAAGTGGTACTTAATTTGGCCCCTCCTACTGAGGTCAAGTATAAATGTTCTCTGATGAATTATAATGTGCTTCTAATTTCTGGACTGTAGATCTAGCATGTCTTGTCAGGTTTTGTATGTGGTATGTTTTTATCATAAGTAAAGGGCATTGGCAATCTTCATTAATGTTTTGCAAAAATTTAGCAAAAAGCCATCTAATATATAAATGTCTTGTAAATGAGAGCTCCTCGAGTTCTAGTCAGATATTATGTCATATCTATAATATTTCATGTGGAGGAAGCTCCTATCTTCCTAACTGGCGTTGTATCTCATGCCTATAGGATCTAAGGGCAAGATATATGATTATTGGAGCCTGGTTTCTGCACAAAGACTGTGTCTCAAAAAAGAAAAAGAAAAAAGAGAGAGAGAGAGAGAGAGTTTTCAGGCAGCTGGTTGAACCCAGAAAGAGAAAATGGCCATTACTTTGGCTGCAGTGAGAGTCAAACATTTTCCTGAAGATGTTTGGAGAGCAACACAGTTTATAATTTATAATTGTCAGTTATTAGACCATTCTTGTTTTTTTTAAGTTTTTTTTTAACCTTATGTTTGCACATCTCGTCTATCTCTTGTATGAATTCTATATATCACTGAGGTGCTAGTGGATGAATAAATAATTTCTATATACACTTCCTTTACAATATGACTTGCAAACTAAATTTTCTTCTTACTAGTAAAAAACAAGTTTATTCCAAATATTAGAAAGAGACCTTAAATAGCTTTTTATTACCCCCCTCACCCTGAGTAATTTTATCAGGTTTAGTGTAAGACTACATTACGTACCTGAAAAAAATATAAAACATTTCCTAAACACTTTCATTTGAACAATTTTTCTTCATATGTGTGAATAAACAAACCTAATACTTATAAATGACCCTAACAACAATGGGTTGTGTCTTTACTGGACTTCCTAAAATACAGGCCTGACAAATGGGGAAAATGTAACAAAATTGACCAATTTGGAAGAATTAGAAGCATATGAACTATCTGTTATTTTTACTGTCATCTCTTTTTTCTGCCTTTCTTATTCCATGAGCCACTAAAGCAAGATGAGTAATTGTGGGTTCAAACAAGTTTGGAAAGAAAGGGCATCCCATTAATCAGTAAGGCTTTTCTTGTTTGTTTGCTTGATTCTGTTTAATTCTGAATCTGAGGCCTAATCTTAAAGAAAGTCAAACACAGAAATAGTTTTCAGTCTGGATACACTGGTTCACGCCTGCATTCCCAGCACTTTGAGAGGCCAAAGCAGGAATATCGCTTGAGCTCAGGAATTTGTGACCAACATGGGCAACATGGCAGGGCCATGTCCCAACATATGTTAAAAAAACAAAAAAATTAGCCAAGCATAGTGGTGCACACCTGTGGTCTCAGCTACTCAGGAGGCTGATGTGGGAGGATCACTTGAGCCCAGCAGGTGGAGACTGCAGTGAGCCGTGATTGCACCACTGCACTCCAGTCTGAGCAACAGAGAAAGACTGTGTCTCAAAAAAAAAAAAAAAAAAAAAGAGAGAGAGAGAGTTTTCAGAGGCAACTGGTTGAACCCAGAAAGAGAAAAAGGCCATTACTTTGGCTGCCATGAGAGTCAAACATTTTCATGCTGAAGATGTTTGCAGAGCAACACAGTTTATAACAGCTATATTATAAAGGAATTGTATAACATATAAAAAGATTATCAATAAATGGACAATTTTAGTACCTACTGAGAGGATAGATTCTCATTGTTTTCTCCATTGTCTATAATCATAAACAATATCAGAGATTATAAATTCAATCATGTAGATAACAAAATATTTTCTACACTCTCGTGTTACTGCATATTCCAAAACAACTTTTTTTTTTTTTTTTCTCATCATGCCATTGTCAGGGCATGTCTATATAAATATGAGATCATAATTTTGAAAAAAAAAGTTTAGAAGTTAATATTTTGTTTGAATAGTGGGCAGTGATGATAAATCAGTCAGGAAACTTCCCTTCCATTGAAACAGAAGAAAAGAGGCTGGGTTTAGTATAAGCCAATGGTAAACAGAGAATAATACAATTGCGGTTAAGCTAGCATTAAAATGTGATTGTGTGTCTTTTTTAGTAGGTAGCGAGGCAGACATGAGCAGGGCAAGAGAAATCCCCCCGTAACCATCAGGTGACAGTCGTGTGGTTGTTAAACTGTCTCTTTAAAATAATAATTGGTTGCAGCTGGCACCAGGGAACGGCGGGCTCCCAATAGATATAAAACACCTGAACCTGGTGATCAGCCGCTTCCCGGTAAGATCTCTAGGAGTTGGGTGAGCAGGCTCAAGCATGTAAACTAAGGGGCAAAATGTCAGAGTTTAACTGCTATATGACCTTCCTCTAGGTACACTCAACTAGTAAGGGAAAGACACCTCAAATGAGCATGTGCACA